AGAGAGAGAGAGAGAGAGAGAGAGAGAGAGAGAGAGAGAGAGAGAGAGAGAAGAAAAGTTAAGTCCAAGAGCCTTTTAGATAACTTAGCACTGAACAGTCATCACATCGTTCTCCATGAAGGATTTTACTACTGCTCTCAACTTGAAAAACCGCTTCAAGACGTTTAATCTGCTGAAGCAACGTACTTTGGTGAAGTGGAAAGAGCACATTCTTATATCTATGCTGATTCTGTTCCCTCCAAAATGACGCACAACTACCGGTGATTTAAGGCCCTGAATCTGTTATTGTTGGTACATTTCACAACGAAAGTCAAACACTATGTCAAACTTCAGGTATTTGCAACTGTGTAATTTCTTGCTAATGGATCATGCAGAGCAACGACGTCTACTACAACCTTCTCTTTGAGTTTCCTTTAAACAAGTAACACCAGTCCATTTCTCCCCCTCCACCCCCACTCCCACCCTTGATTGTTAATTCTGCAAACCGTTTCCACAGTAAACAACACCCACAATGATAGCATATCACTTTTAAAAACTTCAAATAATCTTATATTCGGACAATCACTTTCCAAGCTCCTGACGCGGGAAAAGCCAATTCCTCTTTTTTAAACTTTAGTCATTTATTTTTTAAATAGAGGAAGAATCATTGCAAGAATAGACCAGTACTAAACAGCAGTAATAGAAAACACACAACAATAACAACAGTAACTTTGTGACACAACAGAAAAAAGAGCAGAACCTAGACGCTCAGAGCAAGAACGTATAGAACAGAACTAATAACAACTACAGTAACAGCAATAATAACGCTTCCCCCACCTTGGATAGGGGGGGGGGGGGGGGGGGCCAGCCGCAGCAGGAACGATAACAACAACAACAACAATAACAACAACAACTACGACAACAACAACAACAACGAAGACGACGACAACAACGTGTAATCCCAGTATTTCTCACTGACCTCTGCCACCCCGGAAAGGGTAAAGTCACGTCCCTGTATCTGTTGATGAGTTTCTCTGTCTCTGGGTGATACTTTGTTAAGTACTTGGAGGGTAAACTTAGCTGTGGAAGAATGTCACTGTATTTCTTTTGTTGTTGCTATAGTAGTAGTAGTAGTAGTAGTTGTTGTTGTTGCTATAGTAGTAGTAGTTGTTGTTGTTGTTGTTGCCGTCGTCGTCTTTGTTGTTGTTAAATTTGGAAGTCTCATCTCATGAATAGCATAACAGTATGCATAACAGTATAGGCATGACACCAACAGCATATCAGCGTTTTAGACCTACTGGATACGCCAGTTGTCATTTCCAAGGCAGAGCATTAAAAGATTTGGTCAAACAGACTTTGAGGACTAGGAGACTTTGGGAAGAACAGTGAGAATGGATTACAAGAGGATGTGATCAAACTGGTATGTGTGGAGTCATGGTTAGACTTTTCAACGCTGCATGCTGAAGGTAAGAGTTCGAATCGCAATGAGTAAGCCCTCTCCGACCTCGTATTTCTCAATAGGCTCCCTGCTGACAGAGGCGTCAGCTTCCTTGTTTTGGGAAGGTTTTGGTAGATTATCTGTGTTGAGGGTGCCGTGGCGGAGCGGTTAGTGCGCTCGTCTCCGAAGCGGAAAGTCCGGGTTCGGGCCTCGGTTCGGACACGGATTTTTTCGCCCCCTCCTGCCCACCCAGCAGTAATGGGTACCTGACTTTGAGTTGGTGAAGTAAAAACGGCGTGGAAAGGAACTGGCCACCCTATCACAATCTGCCGAAGGCCCAGGACGTTGTCTCACTAACAAGGAAATCCCAATGTCCGGATCGGATGGGGAAAAACTTTGCTTTACTTTATCTGTGTTGAGAATACATGAAGCCTGAAGTCTTTTACATCATCGTTAACGCACACTGACTGGATTCTAAGGCAAGAAAGGCGATAAAGAATGTTTGTAGGGGGAAGGGGGGG